AGATTTTCACAGCATCTGCATTGGCTGGGCTTTGACATCCATTTGTCACTAGCTCAGCCCAGTTGGGCAGGAGAAGAGGGGCTGCCCAATCCAGGCCTTGCAGGCACCTGCTGCAAAGCGGCATCCACAGATATCTCCCCAGAAAGCCCCTACAGAGGGAAAGCTGGCTGTGGGAGGGAACTCGATCTCAGTTGACCAGGGTAAATTCTGCAGAGCCATGTGACCATGAAACACTAAAGCGGTGGGAGGACTGTACTTTGAGGGGTGTTTGTGAGCACTCCCATTTTGTCCACTGCCAGCGTGAGTGAGGTGAGCACAGGATTTTTGCCTTGGAGAGCAAATAAAGGACCTGGCTTCTTGCCTCTTCCCAGGGAAAAATATTTTTCAGACAAGTAAGAACTTTATGTTCTTGACTTGAAGGCAGACAGCTTTCCTGGGCTGTGGGCTGCACATGTTGGGGTGACATGTCAGCTCCTGGGACACTCCCAGTCCTACCCCTGTGTCCCTCTGAACTGACAAACCACTCGACTTGCAAAATCCATGTACAGCAGCCAAAATGAAAGGGTTTTGCCTTGCAAGGTTGTAAGAGGAATCAGTTTGAGCTGACTCATTTTGGTCACAGCTTATGGAGGACCGAACTGCATGTGGCTAATGGCAGAAGTGCACAAAGACACCTTTAGCTAGGGTGCTGCTGCCCCACCTGCAGCTTGCCTGCTCTGCGGTCCATCGCCTGGCTTCCAAGGGCGCCAGTCCCAAAATCGGGAAAAACTGTTTGCACTGTGATGGTCCTCAGCATTTTTCACATTTTTACCACAAGAAGGCACTAAGAAAACAAGCAGGAAAGGGAAGTGGGCTGCTCAGTCAGATGAAATATTCAAAAGCAACATCAGCTGAGGTGCTTCTGGTAAGAATGAAGACAGCCATGCAAAAGGCTGCATCCCTCTTCTTGTTCAGGTCAGCAGTCATTAGAAAGGGGACAGGACAAAGATAGAAATGGTGGGATTGCTAGTGGTTATTCTGTTTTGTTCCCCTCTTCCCTCAGTGAAAATGCCCTTCCTTCCCACCACAAAATTGCACTTGAGTCAGTACTTTGTTTCTGCTGTTCTGTTTAGATGGATGCTCTAGCTGTGGTGATGTAGGTCTAGTTATTTTGGTTTTCAAATATGACTCAGTCCTAAAATAAGCCCTTAAACAATTTTATTTTATGGTTCCAAGCAATACTGCTGATATATAAATGACATCCTGGGAGTTACATTTGAAGTCTAAAATGGTAAAATGAGATTACTGATAAAAACAGATTTTAAGGTGAAGCGTAGTAATTGAGTTTGGCTCTCTTATGGATGAAATATTATGTGATCAATAGATTCTTATGGTTTGTAGTAGTTAAAGTTTCGTGTTATAGAAATAATCTATGAACAGATTAGTAGAATATAGAGTTGCAAATCTCCTGTTACAGTAAACAATGCTTATTTGGCATTTTACAGACTGTGTAAACTCTGGCAATAAGAAAATACAGATTAGTGCAGACCTAGATAAGTATTTGATTTTAACAATTGATTTTTTGTTTTTATCATTTTGCATTAGCATACCAACTAAAACAAAAAAGTGAAATACACTGACACGTTAGTGGCCATTGCAATGGCTGATGAACAGACACAAAGACCTGAGAAACGCGGTTTGCAACACAGTCTTTTTCTTTCCAGGCCCTCGCTAAAATGCTTCTTACTCAAAAATCCAGTGGTACACTTTTTCATTTCTCCCAGGACAGAGATTTGGCCACCATGCTAAAGCAACAAGAAGTTTTAAAATTTTAATTAGAAATTAAAATAGCACCAGAAGAGATGGCCAGGATTGTGACTTGGCAAATATGGTTGTGACTTGGGCAGAAGACACGACTGCAGTGGGCTTTACTGGTGCACTGAACACCAGATGCTTCTCCATGGGTCATCCACTCCGGTGATGCCAGAGCTGCTCTAGTCTTCCTACTCTTACTACTCAGAAAGGTTTTCTTTATGTAGTTGGCAAAAGCTATGTGGTGATTTTTAACTTAAATTATTAACTGGTTTGGGGACAAGTTAAACTGCATTTGCCTGTATGTAAGTTTCACTATTAAAAAATAACTAGCTGAGCCCTACTTTAAAGCTACTGCTATTTTTATCTGAGAAACCAAGGCAGTCCCCACCTGTTGAGAGCCCATGTAAGCTGAGCACCATCACCACCACCAAAGTGGAGGAGACCCATTCAAGGTGAGAGTCACCATGGAGGAGGAGATGCCACCCCACACACATTCCGCATTTGGAGTCAGCAGGATCCAAGATCGGGGCTCTGTGGCTCACGAGGTTGTGCTTCTCTGAGGTGCCATGGGGTGAATCTGCTGTAGCCCCATGCAATCGATGGGAAGACCGTATGCTGGTACTGAAGGAGGGCAGTTTTACAGCACTCCCTGCAGAAACACCCACTTGTTGGCATCCTAGAAAAAAGCTATGGCTACCATTTCAGCTCTGACTTAACGACCATGTTTCAGCAGTTGTGCTAAGGTGGAGCTCGCACAGAAGGCAAAGACATCCTTAGCTATAAGGAGGATTGAGGCAGCCAGCCCCCTGTTCCTGACCAGGGAAAATTTGTGAGTACCAGAAATTTGCAGCTGCACAGTTAGCTACCCTTTCAACAGTTTACAGTACTGCTGCTTTTTGTCACCTTGTTTCACCATGGCATTGAATTCAGCACTGTAACTGAAGACATCTCTGCCTTTATATCCGTAGGTCTATTAACTTAGGGCAATTACTCTGCAGAGAGGTGACAATTCCTTTATAGAAGTTATTGAATTCTGGTACTGCAAACACTGCAAACAGTGCGTCAATAATGAAAGGCCAGTAAGAGAGCACAACGTACCTGCATCGTTCAGAAATATAATTTTTTTTTATGGACTATATTGTCTGACAGATAATTTAAGTCTGGAAATTAGACATCAATTTTTAATAATATTTAAATTTACTTTTCGAGGAAAATTAAAAACATGAGCTACTAATTACTAGTTTGACTGAACAGAAGAGAGATGGGGAAGAGGGGGTGAAAAGGAATGAAAATGAGGGTCACTGAGATGTCTTATTGGAGTTTACTGACCTTTAGAAGAACTCCCAACTGATTAGTAACCTTGAACGTTGATAAATTAGGTAATATTCGCTCAACTCATTCTCATTTTTTATTTAGCAGAGAATTCCAGCTTTGTTCAGCAGTATGACTTCTGCTCTTTACATACATGTAACACTGACTGTCTCTTCCAAGGATTTGAGTCAAGGTTTAGCTATTACGTTACGTCTCAATTCTTGGCTTTTTAGCCTGTTGCATAGTGCATTGCACTGTGATTCATGAATCTAGAACAGTAGAAAGATCCTACAGCACTCAAGCCAAAGTAGGCAACAAAGGGAGCGAGATGCTTGTTTTCCATCTATACAACATTTCAGTTTTGATTAAAAGCTGGGACTAAACACCAGTATTACTTTGCCTTCGAGAAAGGATTGAGAAAAAATTTGGAGATAATTTTCCTTCCAGGTGTCTTACCTGTTGTAGGTCTAAATCTGACGTCGGTGGATGCACTGAACCAGATTAAGGGGACACCTGTCTCACCCATAACTTATCCAATAGGGGTGCTTACAACTGTTCTGTAGGTATCTGACCTTCTCTCTACCAGCTCCACTGCTTTCCTTCAGAACTTTTTTCAGCCTCTGATGGAACCTGAAGATTCTGCCCTTAAAAAATGTTAGCTCTTTTCAGAAAAAGTCATCTGGTCTTCATGCATTTCCTATGTCCATCTTATACCTATTCTTGAAGGAAAGTAAAGTGCAATTCTTAAATGGCAACACTTTCTGGTAAACTTTCTCTCAGAAATGGGCATGCAGCTGCAACCAAAATCCACTGGTGATGTGCCTCTGCGTCTGAGGGGAAAAAAGGACCTCCTGACAATTACTAGCAGGCAAGCAAACACTGTACAGAAATCAGCTTCTTTTTAAAGGACCTTATGCTCTTCCTCAGAAAACTTGCCAGGAACTGGACAATATGGTAAAATCCTTGAGTACCTGTTATTTAGAGACTAGGTGAGTTTATTTGGTCTGAAAATCTTCATAGCTTTAATGGTCCAATGTAGACTACCAATTAGGGGGGTTGCTTTTTTTTTTTCCCCAGATTTTTAGTTTTTTGTTTTGTTTGTATTATTTGGATTCAGTGGCCTGGCATCTCTTGTATACCCTGCTCTATAAACAGCCAGTACTCAGCAGACACTAGGGCTCACGGGAATACCTACCAGATGCATGCAGTTGCATTGCATTCCTTTGAAAAGAATAGTGTTTAAAGGATGCTGTCATCTTGGGCAGCTTCTTCCTGTCCTGATTTGCCTCCACAGTTTGTGATGCATTCCTTACAAATTCAGCCTGTAATTTGTAAGCACTGCTTAATTCTTTATTTCTCTTCCACTATAACACAGCTTTAGTCACGTAGCCTCTTTCATTTATTGTCCCAACAGTACAGTAGTGAAAATAGGGTTTGCACATTGAAGTGATCCCGATGCATTAAGATACTTTACATAAACAACTAAAACAGCTGTGGAACTTATAGAAAAACAAACCAAACCAGGGCAGCTGGAGAGAGGAGGAATCTGGAGAAGATCCCCTGTAAATCTGAACAGATGCAAGTCACAGGCAAATGGTCTGCACCCACCCTGGGTGACAGCATCCTGCTGGCCCGTAGGATCTGATCTTTAGGCACATGCAATTTCTGTTCAATCCACTGTAATGACTCAGATCGATGAAGGTTATTTATTTATTCCCAGAAGAATAACAAAGACAAGAGATGATAGGCATAAAGTTGTGCCAGGAAGAAGCTCCCATATGTAGCGAAGCTAGCCCTGCATGGCCCAGCTGCCCAGACATGCTGGCAAAGATGGAACACTAATGACATGCATGAAAATGACATCCCTGAAAAGGAAAGACAGCACAAACAGAAACTTAAGGTAAGAGAAATATTTATTTAAATTTGCACAATAACGAGCTTATACTGAACAAATTCAATCAAGAAATAATAGTAAGTGCAGTAAAACAAGGAAATATTGATGACTTTTCCCATCAGAAAACATTAAGAAGCCATGCCTGTGCATCACGTTTTTTCTTTTTAGCTTTTTTTAATTTTTTTTTTTGTTTTACAATAACTTCTATCTTTTTTTTTTTCAGCGCACATACTGTACATATCACATCTTAGCTGCTAGATTCATTATTCCTGAAGGCTTCATCCTTTTACTCAAACATCTGCTAAATTCTGCAGTGAGCAATCAAACATATTTGTGCAGATTGAAATATGGTAAGGTAAAAATCTGAATCTGGTCAAGTGCTGAACTCTCAAAGCTTCGGAAGACCCTCTAAGAGCTCCTAGTTGATTTTGGATCTTGACATCATTATGCACAGCATTAGAATGTGCCACTTAACACTAACCTAAATATTCTCCATCATTACGTCAGATAGACGAATACCCAGTAGATTTGGGCCTAACCTCACACAAAGGTTCACACCTCTGAGCTTGTTTTGAGTACAAAGTTTTCACTCTGATTTGGGTAACTGAGTTCATCATGTATCTGCACTTTTTAGATAGACAAAACCAATCTAATTTTAATTTTGTACAATTTTTGGTCTAAAGGTATTTTTTAATTTTTTTTTTTGTGAAGGAAAATTCTTTAACCAGAAACTGTTTGTGAGAGATGGTTGTTGGTGTCACAGTTCCTGAAGGCACTGTGGGTCCACTGAGCAACAGACGTGGCCATTCTAAAGAAAGGAAAAACAGAAAGAATTGAAACAATTATCACTTTGTACAAACCAAGTCAATTTAACAAGCTCAGCCATTTGCAAAGTCAGATCTGAATGTACAAATTTGTAAAACAGAAGACATGTACAGGTTTTGAGCGTATCAAAAATGAATTTTGATTCATGGCATTATTATCATGCCCTTCCCTTGCCCAAGGGAATGGGCTATTATGATTCCTCTAATTGCTTTCTTTGCTCTGGTCTGTATCCCAGAGCTACAACAGCCAAACTGAAACAAGCTGGGATCAGTGGAAGAAATGCTTCGGACATAAAGGTATCAGGCATCTGCTCAAGAACACAAAGCTGTTGAACAAGACAGGGCGCTTGGGAGTTTTATTCAGATCAGGCATAAGGGACTCTGGGTTTTATTTAGCCCTGAATGCTTCAAGTTAATACATCCTGGCTGCAACCCCAGTAAATATTAATCCATAAAGTTTTTCCTGATAGTCCCAACATTCTTCTGAGAATATTAGCAATTAAGGGAACAGATTGCCTATGGACATTATTAAAGTACTGGAGAAATTGTTTTCTGTATCTCTAATACTTCTTAAGTCTGATTCTTACAATGCAAATTAAAGGAGTATATTGTTTTTAAATTACTCCAAGTACATTCAGTAAACCAAACTGCCAGGAATGATTAAAGACCAAGGTCTCAATCATTCAAACATTTTCTTTCATTCCTTCTGTTACAGGAGGATAGACAATTCTACTGCCCACCTTCTTTACTTGTGATTTGAAATGGTTTTGTGGCTAAGTCAGCTTTAGCTGATGCCCAGGTTTCTGAATTCTTAAAGGATTTGTGTAAACCTATTTTGCTATAGCTTGCTTAGAGAGGCTTAGACTGGAGATTTGACCTTCCATGTGATGCTCTGCAAGAAAAGCGCAAGCTGACACAGGACAAATGAGATGGAGAACTACACAAATTGGACACAGCATTAACCTGGTCTGGAGGGAGCGGGTTGCTTGCATGCAGAACCACAATATTAAAATACTGCCAATATGAGCAGATAGCGTGTTTCAGAAAGAAAACCACTCTGTAAAGAGAATTGAGTGAGATTTGGCTTTCTGAGGGACAAAGCGGTACATCTTCGCTGTTACGCAGATTCAAACCCGAGCTGTATTCAATCTGTGGGATTTGGCAGAGTATCTGTTTTAATCTTATATATGTTCACAATGCAGCAGGGGATTTTAATAGTTTATGTGTGTGTTTACACTGAATACAAATTAGTCAATGCTTAAGGTTCATGCTTCGTTTAAGAGAAAAGGGCAGATGGGAGCAGCACACAGGAGGACATGAGCGGAACTGATACATGGCTTCTGCATTACTATTGATCAGCAGCACAATGATGAAAACACATTTCCTGTCACCGAATCTCGAAAGTGGTTTAGAGAAGAATCACACAGAACTACCTGGTTTACAGATGAGGAAACCGAGGCAGAAAAACCCCAGCAACTTGCCCAAGCAAAAAGTAACTTACAGCATTGGAATTGGTGTATGCCACCAGCTACGGACCCCAAAAGTATGGATTTCTGCATGTAAGCCTGATCCAACATCCTCTGGTCAGCAGCTGGCTTTCTAACCACTAGCCACTCTGTCAGGTCACATCATTTTCTTCTAACCACCAACCCGTTCTGACATCCAGACAAATGCCTATGCTTACTTGGCACATACCACTTCCCTCATAAAATGACTATGCCTCGAGAGCAGCAACTGCTGTTGCACACAGTATTGTGTCAAGCAAAATGGAGGAGGAAGGTGGTGCTTGTCAGCTTCTGCTACATGATCGGTTACTCCCCATCTCTCTCAGAAGGAGGTGTTGAAGTTAGATTATTTTTTATGAGCACCTTTTCAGACTAGCTTATTGTACCATGTACTGGAGTTTGGGAAGTACCTTCTGTGGGAAGGTCACAGGATAAACATCAAAATCTACTGAGAATTTTAGAAATAATCAAAGATCTCTAGATGAATCCTGCTGTCTTTCTCTCCTTGGCTACTACAGAAACATTCTGTCATTCTTCAGTACTGGATGATGGAAAATACAATTCACTATACAGGCTTATTTTGAATGGAATGAGAGATGTCAGAACTCACATAAGCCCACAGCCATTAATTTTTCTTCTCAGACAATGAATTGCTCTGACTACAAAAACTATTAAATGTACTAAACATCATGTTGATTCTAGTATTAATTTTAAAGCAAGAAAGCTACGTAACCCTGTAACTGGTCCTTTAATTCTCAAAACCATTATTATTCAGAAAAAGCAATTCAGTTTTGATAACACTATAGTATCACACAGAACAAATTTCTTGTGAAGTCTAGTCTCACATACCTATCCGTTACTGCATATGCTTCCAAGGTAGCATGGAGCTGTATAGTAAGAACTGTGCTCAAACTTGGATTGAGTTATCCTGGTGAAAAAGCAAAGCCCACTACCACGTGCACAGTACACTGCACCACGGGCTCTTGTCCTGTTTCTGCCCTGCTAGCACATTAAACCATCCTTCTAGAACATGCAAGAGTAAAGTTAACTAAGAGGAACTCTTCTACTTTTATCTCCGCTGATGTAAAACAAGTGTAGACACCAACTGTCCACTGACAGGACCCAGTACATTAATATATATATTGCACAGAACGAGCTGGGAAAGAAGCATCTCAGCTTAATTTTCATGCTCTTTACCTTGCACTGGCAGAGGGTGCACTCTGTGCCATGCTTAATCCAAGAAGATCCAGTGAAGCGAACAACATTGGTTTCATCCAGGCAGGTTTTAGTGATGTCATTGCGAACGGTGTCCGCTTGGCAGGGGTCGGTGACACAGCGTGGGCAGCACTCATTCTCCGGGAGGACGCTGAATTCACAGTCCACCTCCGGGCATGGCAAGGGCCAGCAGTCAACTTCGCCTTGCTGTTTACAAGTATGACAAGAACAAGAGAAGATTATTAGCCCTTATTTTCCCTCATTACCCATTTCTCTGACTCAGCAGTACATTTCTTAGCTGGCTAGTTTTATCCATCTGGTCCTATTCAGAAGTCAGTGCAGGGAATGCTGACATTCACTGCCTGTGGGAGAACAGCAAGTTTTTTTGTGCATGCTATTCAGGAATTGTATTAGATTTAACTTATTTCAACACACTCTGCATCAAGCTGCAGCTGAAAATTGTCCATAAACATGACGCAATACAGAATATGGATGTCCTTATAAAGTCCTACTTCTGCAAGTGACAGAAGCCATAACTGGGCTGTACTGCAAAAGTGCTTCAAAATCTCTGGTTTCACCCAGTTCTTACTTCTATTCAGACTGTTGGATTGCCACAGAAAGCCCTTGAATTCAGCTCTGGATGGGTTGGAGTTTCTATTTACCGTGGTTACAAATGCTTTGGCTGGACTAAGGGTGTCAAACTACCAGCAGCCAATGCAGCAGGGACCACCAGCGTGTTTTCAGCCACTTAACATCCATTTACGATCAGGATACCTGAACTTCCAAATGTAATCACACTTTCTGCATGATGAATTCAGTACAGTCAGGTTATGAGAAGGTCAAAAAAAGAAACTTGCATTGGGGCAGAATATTCTTAGAGGGAGTTACTGCATGCCTGCGCACAAATCTGAAGATGTCTAATTATTCATGTCAGTTACTAGAAGCTTGGGTCAGCTTCCCTTCAACTCTGGACAGGGGCCAAAGTTTTAGGTCTATTGGTCAAAGAAAGATTTCACAGAAGTCATTAATGTGTATTTCTTTTGGAGCAGGTCCAACTTTGACCTTCAAATTATTCAGCTCATCTGAGCATAGATCGAGTGGTCTGGATTTATGGGGGTCAAAGGGAATAGCACTTGTTCCCAGAGAAGAAGTTTATTCACAAAAACTGTATCTGAGGCTTTGAGAGTGATGAGCTCAACATCTCCAAAGCAAAAGGTGGAAAAAAAAAAATTCCCAAGGGTTTTCCATAGCTGAAAATTTACTCCTCCTGTTGCAAAAAGTATTGTGAAGTTACTCTTTTACAAAATTCTCATCTGGGTCACTTCGGCTCTTTTTGAACCACATGATGGTAAGATTGAAAGCAATCTTAAAACCAGTCACTGGTCTTGATACTTCAATTTATTTTCTATGGTGATGGACAGTATGAGGAGTAGACAATAAGCCATCACCCAAAAAAAATCCCTGACAGCTGAAAGAAAGCAGGCTTTAGTTACAGAAGTAGCACCTTGAGAAAAGAGACTTCTATTGAGATCCCAAACTGTAGGTTGTTCTGTTTGGGGTTTAAGACATTTAAAGAAGCACCTGGGAATCTATTTCACTGGATTTTAGCTGTAATAACACTGAAAGTACAGTGTCTACAGAAATAGGTTTCTGGCTGTTATTCATGATACTCTGACAAGGGAAAGCTGCTACATGGACTAGGCTTTACATTTGGAGATACCCTGTGATAAAAGCTGGTTGTTTTTATCTTGGGATTTTTTCTGTCACTGAAACTTCCTCAGCGGCATTATGCAGAATAGCATTTTCTCCGACTCAGAAATACATGCCTAGGAAAAAGATTACAAGCTTGAAGAGATTTTTTTTTTTCAAACCCCATTTCACTATTTTGAAAAATGCACCAAGTCTTACTATTTTTTCTGTTACCCAGAATGTCTAAATGAATAAACAAATCTTAGTGTACTGGCATCTTTGAGATTATCAACCATGATAATAAAGACATAGAATTTCCTTATACTGCTCCATCAGTCTTTGAATGAGTAAACACGAGTGTTGTTGTGTAGGTGTCATATCCAAATGACCTCCACTCTATGCTAAAACAATCTTCATGATTAAATAATTTATATTATGTCTATTGTGTCAAAAAGCATTTTTGACTGGAACTTGACGATACTGACAAATATCCATGAAAACCAGATTTCAATTATACACATACTCCAGAGGAAATGGATGCTAATGCATGAAAATTAACTCTTCACAGAACAGAATATCTCATATCCTTTTCCCCTCCTGCCTCTGCTGCTGTGATCAGAAGCCTTACCAGGCAGCGACACTGCTGACAGTTCTGTATCCAGGAGTCACCGCTGTTGTAGGAAAGTTCCCCGCTTTGATGTAAACACTGACTGCTGAGCCTTGGGTCACATTCAGGACAGCAAAACAGGTCAACAGTGGGATTTTCACAGTCACAGACCATTCGCCGGCACATCACAAATCCACTCTGTTGTTAGAAGACAGGCATAGAGCAATGGCAGAAATGTGACAAACTCCAGCAGTACTTGTACCAAAATTTGATTTTTTGGCATGACTCTAAGTCACTAGCAGTTCGTAAGTTTTTCCACTGTATGATATCTTCATCAAAATACAGCTCAAACAGAGGCAGAAACCACAATACACACCCAGTAACCACCAAAAAGCCCCCGTTGTCTTATATACATCCTTCGTACAACCACTCTTCAGATAGCTCTCACCTAAGTTGATGAAACCCAAGGGTTTCTTGCCCAAGGGTCAAATTACAATGGACTGCACAAGGTTTGTGTCATTCTCATACGGATGCTAGTCAAGTCATGCTTTACACTTCCAGATCAGTCCCTCTCTTCTGTAATTATAGAATCATAGAATGGTTAGGGTTGGAAGGGACCTAAAAGATCATCTAGTTCCACCCCCCCTGCCATGGGCAGGGACCCCTTCCACTAGACCAGGTTGCTCAAAGCCTCATCCAGCCTGGCCTTGAAGACATCCAGGGATGGGGCATCCACAACATCTCTGGGCAACCTGTTCCAGTGCCTCACCACCCTCTCTGTGAAGAATTTCTTCCTGATATCTAATCTAAACCTCCCTGATTTCAATTTGTACCCATTACCCCTTGTCCTATCACCACAAGCTCTTGTAAAAAGTAAAAATTATTCACATAAAGGATATGATAGGTAATCTGAAATTAAATTCATGAAACTTGAGTTGCTGAAATGCTCAGGACTTTGTCAGCAGTAACTGGGCCTTTCTTCTCTGACAGCGTTTAGCTTGGGATCAAGGTTCCCACTGCTAACATTTGAGAAAGCTAAGTTGAGTTACTCTGCAGATACACTCCCTACTTCTATTTATAGCCATCTGCTAGAGATACTGGCGTCAGTCACCAATGCCAGTATGTGTCTAGACAGTTTCTTTGCATGAAAATACCGTTACTCCCACCCAGAAATCACAGGAGGCATCTCTGCTATGAAAATAGCACTACAGTCCTTCTCCCACCATCATATAATAACCCTCCTGTGGAAGTTCTGCTCATGCAGATTGGAGAGAGAAGCTCACCCCAAAACCATATATAGTATACAATTCCATTTTTCTGTAGCACCACACGCACACCTGAGAAGGCAGTTAAAACAGGAATTTCACTTGAATCATGACACTGATCATCCCTACCACCACTTTGCAGAAGCAGCTCATTCTATTTCCACTGACCTGGCACGAGCAGACAGAGCATCTGTCGTTCTCCAGCACCCAAATCTGACCATTGTGCTTGATTTTGTCTTCGTGGATACAGTCTCCTGTGCAATTCTTGCCATGGGGACATCGACAGTCATACCCACCATCCAGGTTAAAGCAAACAGTATCATTGGCGCAGCTATGCCTCCCAGTTCCACATTCATCAATGTCTGCAAAAACATGCCATATAATGCTTTTAGACCATATTCAATTAACAAAAATGTCCTTGTGGCAGTCAATATAAATGATTGTTGGCCATTAAAGCCTTCAGCTGAAAATTAATTTGCACTTCACCAGAATGGGGAGAAGTAACTTACAAAAAAAAAATTTTTCAAATCACATCACATCAGCTTTTAAAACATGGTATTTTGAGTTTTTCTATACATCTTCTTAAATGAATGGTATTGAGTAAGGTAGTTAGAATGAAGAAATCATGGGAAACATAAGAACAAAAATAATTCTCAGCTCCTTCATGAGCATTAGTTTGTGACGACTGTTCATGAGATGTGCAGTCAAACAAGAAAAGCTGCAGAATCTTGTTTTTAAAACTTTTTGCTGGCTCTGTCTAGCACATTAGAATTCATTTGCTGAGAAGTTAATGGAAAAGGTGATGTCTGACCTGTAAGCTCACTTAAGCAAGCACACCATGCTTGAAGTCGCATCATTTATTAGGGTGTGCAAACTAGAATATTTTAATTATTCAAGTTGCAGTGACATCTATAGCCCCTGCGTCTAGCATAGAAAATGAAGAAAGTAATGTCTCCAGTGACTAAAGGTAAATGAGTTCAAAACAATCCTATCTAATAGAATTCAAGAGTACCTTTGAACGCCTACTTCATCAAGGTACATAAAATTATTTTGCAAGGGCAAACTAGCAGCTAGCACTGCCTTCTCCTTCAATAGTCTTTATTTAGCTTTTCCAGCTGTCCACATGGAGAAAAGTTATCTGGGAAAAAAGCTTTGAGAGGGGATGAAGTAAACAACTCTATGCGATAAAACATGTAAAACACTAGAAGAGTAAAGACTAGATCTATGGCAAGTGTACACTGAGTTCAATTCTACATACAATGTCACAACAGTCTGGCCCAAGTTCTTAATCCGAGTTCATTTAAAAGTTGCACTGTGATATTTAACAGTTCAACCAGTACAAGACAAAATAAGCAATACGGACATGAATGTGTCTTTCACCATCAGCACGAAAACTTAACAAAACACTCAGCTTTGGGTTCAACAATTGAAATGAAACCTCCAATTCACCTCAAGCACAATCAGTATAAAGATAAATAACTCAATTATAATTTCAATTCCGAGTGTGGCTGCAGTCAATAAAAAAAAAAAAGTAAACAAGTTGTTAACATGAATATTAATTGGGATGAAAAACAGCAGGGAAATTATTAGAATTTCATTGTATAAATAAGCAGCATTGTGGGTTTCTTTCAAATACTGTGTGCAATAACAGCGGCACCATCAAAAAAAAAAATTATTGCCAAATTACTAGGGCTTATGGGAAGGATGAGGAAAATGTCATTTGAGAGGAACTGAGAAGAAACAGATTGGTCATCTCCAAAAGAACATCAGCAAGAAAGGACATAACAAAAAAAAAAAAAAAAAAAAAAGAAAAAGAATTCTCCAGAGAAGATATCTTGAGAGCTTTTGTTCCCCATATCGCCTAACAAACACATGAAACTGGGGAGATGAAACGAAGACAAGAAATTTAAGTCTGGTAAAGAGAAATAATTTTTTATAATGCATAAACAAACTATGACACTTGCTGCCACGGATTGGTAAAAGGGAAAAAAAAAAGCGTAGCCCTAAGTTTATAAAGCTAGCAAGAATATTCATAAATTCATAAAATGGTTTAGGTTAGAAGGGACCTTGAAGATCATCGAGTTTCGAACCCCCTGCCATGGGCAGAAGTATCTTCCACCAGATCAGGCTGCTCAAATTCAATTTTTGGTGCTAAGAGATTTGGAAAGAGAGATCACATTTTGTGCATTTGGGTCTATGGTGCCCTTATTTATGTATCAGATAATCCAGAACAGGCAAATCATCTCAGACCTCCATCATCATCTATTTCGCTATCTTCTGAAGCATCTGGAGTCAGCCACTGTTGCAATAAGGCAGAAGATAGGATCATGGGATCATGAACCTAATTTAGTGTGGCTGTTCGCATGGCCCTCAGCAGCCAAAACATCACAGGCATGTCAGATGGAGAAACCCACCCAAGGAGTAAGGGTGATACACAGTTAGTGGAACAGACGGCCATGCAGAGGCTGTGCAATCTCCAGCATTGAAAGTCTCAGACAAGTAGCTAACAGGAGCGATTTCAGGGATGCTGCCCTGGGCAGAGCAGAGGGAAGGAAAAGCCTCTCTCCGTCCTTTATTTTCTCTTAAATCCATACTGAAAGTAACACAATCCAGCAATTCAAAACTAAGATCTCTATATACTCAGTCTAACTGGTTCTAAGTTATGCAATAAAGAGAACAAACACAAATCCTATTTAAATATAATGGTTAACAGCAGGATTCTCTTTATCATTGGAGCAACTTTTAATATATGACTTTCCAACACTTGCGTTCATTTGTTTAAAACATTGTTTTGTACAAAGCTTTCACGTAGTTAGTGTCATAAATGAAAAATATCACTTCTCAACAACCTGGCCACTTAACTGAAAGCAGACATATTTAATGAGACACTTGGACGAAGTTCAGCTGTCATGTAAATAAGCACAGTTTCCTTTAAACAACAAATGGTGACCCTATAAACACTAAGGCTGATTTTGGCACTTACGTACAAGTGTATTTCACAATTTTCCCATGAGGAAAAGGCTTCTGGGGTTTGCTTTTCAACATGGCAATGGTTAGTGCACAGTTACTGAAAACAATTGAGGTTTCATCATTGACTCTGGTATTAAGCCAAGCTTATTCGACATTGAGAATTTATGAAAAATCCCAAGCTTGTTTTTTCCAGTTCTTTCATTCATGAAAATAAATATTCTGGATAGGGCAATTTAAATATCCCTGGTCAATGCAGAGGCTATTTAGGTTTTGATTCTAACCTAATCAGAAACAGCAGTGTGTTTATAACACAGCAAGAGAATCACAGACTTTGCATGCATGAAATTCTCATCTGCATTATTCATCCACATCAAACCAGGCATTATCTGCACAGAACCTACACACAAATAATTCATATCAAGCAAAACTTCATTCAGCTTTTTTACTTTGGATTTATAATGGCTAGTGAATTATGTTACTGACATTTTGTTTACAGCCATAACCAGCTCTCCAATTTCCATAACCATATGGACAGGGTACACTGGCCCCTGTATCTTTTGTGTCTAAAAATGGGAGAAGGGTGGTTACAAGTTGCATATTTCCAGTATATCCAGCCCCAGAGGCATTTTGTTATCTCACCAATATTTTTTTTTCTTAAAAACCCAAACCTAACAACCAATAATTCACTTCAGGCTATTTATAACACACTGCTTAGGAATCAAGCAGCTTGAACGTTATGACATTAGAACACCAAACTCTCAAAAGCCTTGGAGGTTTGCCTCAGAAAAAAAAAAAAAAAAAAAGGAACAAAATGTAACTAGTTATCTAGTGGTAAATTGAGGACCAGTTCTTATTTATCTACTATATACTAAAAATAGCAGGATCTTTGATCTGGCACATTTTTAAGGATTTTCATTTTCTTACCATCATCCCTGCATAGAACTTAATATTCCAATGACAAAAGAGTAGGATGAATGAAGAAGTAGTGATACAAGTTAAAGGAAACTAGGAGTTAATTGTATCACAAGTAATTTCATGCCTACACAGGAAAAAATACTAGGCTAAAGCTATACAAAATGGTGACACTACCTGGAATGACTAAACTCCATTTGTAATATTTGAGAGACTGCAAGGGAAGAAAACTCCAGAAATACAGGAATTTCAATTTCCTCATCAGATTGTGACCCAAGGCTGTATTTAACAGATTTACTGAGTGTTTCTTGGAACAGATAGTCAAAGAATCTCAAATGCACCATTTGACTTAGCCCTAAGCAGTGTGTAGGCTCTGATTCAAAATGCTTCTACTGAGCAACTACTCTGCATTGGTGACCATCAGTGACCACAGTGTATGCAAGTTCAACATCCTTAAAAGAATTTAAAAGGCTGCAAAAAAAAAAAATCTCTGTGGTACCGCTTTTATTTTCAAAGGAGGAATAGATGTTAAAACAATGAAGTTTTAAAGATTAATTACAACTAGAGTCCAAAAGGATAAAATGTTTTCAGTTAGAAAGAAGATTGTTTAAAGTTACTGTAGTATCAGAGTACTGTAGATTCAGAGTAAACATATACTATGCTAATGAAAATTCTTTAAAGGGGGGATACATTTCATATAATGCACTACTTTTATTTGAAAACTTTTCATGACCTCTCTTGCATAATACACGCTCTTAAAGGAACCATCTGCCATGGAATAAAAGAGGTCAGTGACTCACAGATTAATAGTGGGCTAATTAGTAAGTCATAAAACGCAGGAATAAATGGTCAGGTTGTTGTAAAGTAGAGTTATCCCAGGGAAGTTCCCTACAAATCTGTGCCAGCATGTGTGCTGCCCAATCTCAGTAGTCATCTGGGGGAATGAATGAACAGGAAGATGAAAAAGGCTGTTGATAATAAAATATTAAAACCAAAAAACTGAGAGTGGAATATGGAAGTATTTAATGACATCGGCTGGGTAAACTAGAATGTCAGAAGAGATTCAGTTGTGATGCACATGGGGAAATACCCATTCAAAAATCAAATCAGTCTTTTAGATCTGTTCTGGAGAGAGATATTGGAGCTACTGTGGATAGCTCTAAATAACGACAGCTCAATAATATTTTGGGAAAAAAAGCACAATTACAGTATTGATACCAACAGATGAGAAAACTCGCAATAAACTCACAGGAAACACGAACAAGGCACAGTTAGAAAATAAGTTGTGTACACCCTGCTAGGTAGTGACAAAGGGCTCAGAGATGCATTCTGGTATAGCTGATGGAAAGGTGCAACTTCCCCTCCTCCAGTGAGCTATCCAGCCTGACGTGTGGGGTGTTCACCAAAAAAGGTCTCCCCAGACACGGTTTCCTAAAGGAATCATTGTGACAGCAGCTAGAGTGTCACCTATGTAAAGAAA